AAAGTCCAAATACATTATCCTGCTTTAAATATCATTCCCACAGATTTTCCCTTAACAGCTGTGCTGCCTTCTGCGAGCACATGGTTGATGCCGTCTCCCTGCAGAAGCAGACATTCTTGTTATGTCCTCCTGCCGCGGCACCCATCCCCCCTCACGCCTTCCCCCAATGCAGGTATTAGGTGTCCTCACCTGTGAGCTCAGGGACTTTACTGTGGTTACCACCCACCTTGTGATGGATGTAACTACTGAATTTGCATGGCTCATAGCTACCTACAACTGTCTCTGCTCGGACCTGGCTGCTGAGGCCAAGGCTGCCCCAGAGGTGAGCATGCTAGCGTGAAATGCGTCTGACTCCTTTATTCTCTCTCCCGTCTCTCCCATCTTCTGTGCCTTTACTGTGATCTTTATGTATTATAAATGTAAATTTGCACGGATGGGCCCTGCGGTTGTTAGAGGCTAGTTTAACGACCAAGGCAATCTTCACTGCACCTGATATTAGAGTGAGTCATCAAATCTTCCAGCTCTTCCAACCGGCCTTCCAGTTAGGTGGGCCATGTTCTTTGTCTCAGCCACTGAAATGTGAGCACAATGATCCGAGCCCCTTCCAAACAAACTTGACAGACCACTGCGGGGTGCATCAAGCTCCCCTGCTCTTGCCTCCTCAACCACGGACACCTGGAGACGGGGCTGCTCTTAGCCTAAGTGAGGGCAATGGAGGGCAAACGAGCTGCCTGGGATGAAATGTGATAGCAACGAGAAGACAGTTCTGTGGTCCCACTCACTGAGGTTTGGAGGGCCGAGGGGCCCTGCAGCTGTCCCTAGTGGATATGAGGGAGCCCTACCCTCGAGTCCTCTAGTTCTGCCAATGACCCCGGCAGCTTCCCCCTGACGATGTCCCCCACACAACAGGGTCAAGGGCCATGTGACCCCCTACTGGGGGTCTGAACCCTGCTCATGGCTAGTCTCTAGCCTAGGGTTTTATCATCTAGATTATGGTCAGCGTGCCCACCCTCCAGTAGCTACGGAATGAGAGTCCTCACTGCACTCCAAAGCATTGTCAGCAATATCCCCTACATTCCAGTGATGGGGAAACTGGGTGGGGGACCTCCCGGGACAGCTGTAAGGAAGCGGGATTGCAGGGCGCAAGAACCCTGGGTGAGGGAGAATGGAGCCCTCAGTGTAGAACACAGTGCCACCTTGTGGCCACCTTGTGGCTGGACGCTACATCGTTCACCGACTCAGATGTCCTAGGGGTCTGAGAAGAGAGGGCACTGCCCCAGACCAGGGGAAATGACTCAACCTTCGAGGGATGAGACCCTCCCGGGAGTCAGAGGAAGTCACTGGAAGGAAGAGGCAAGAGCCACCCAAGTTTACCCATTTTTATTTGTTTATCAAATGAACTACAAATAGATTGCCCTCCCTCCCTCACAAAGGAAAATCACAAAACAGTCTACACGTAGGTGAGGGTGGAAAGATTCGCCTGGGAAAGACTGAACATCTACAAGGAGGCGCCTTGAGGCCAGAATAGGGGGCTGGATCTGCTCTTAGGCCCACCCAGGTCAGCATGCTAAACTCTCTGGCTCCACTACAGGAGAGGGTGCCCTTTCTGCCTTATCAAACCTAGTTGGGCCCTGAAAAACTCTAGAACCATCACCTGAACATCTAGAACTTCCTAGAACCTGAGGTCCCATCAGGCCCATACAGAGAAGACTCTCTCTACTGGACACTTGCTTCCAGACCTCAAATGGGGAACCAGTCAGCCACGGTGGATGCTCATGGGAACACTGGGATGAAGGCAGTCGCTCTGAGTGCATTCCTGGGCTAACAGGCCCCCCTTGCTGCCCAGAACCATTCACGGGAAGAGGCACCAGGGCAGCCTGTTGCTCTCTGGGTGAAGGGGCACCGTTATCTGGGCAGAGGAAGACGTGCCTCTGCCCAGAAGTTCTGGACAGCCCACCCTGGTGCCTTGTACAACATCCAGAAAGTTAGGCCTAGATTCCTCCGTCATTGGGCTCTTATCCTTACACTTGCAGGAGAGGCAGTAGTAGAGAGACTCAAGATTGATCTTACTTCTGGAACGGGCCGATAGCTTTGACATCCGAGAGGTAATCTGAGGGCGCATAAAGAACTTCCGTGTGGGGCTTAAGAACACAATGATGCTGGCGTGACTCACACCGGGCCTGACCCAGCTCCTCCCTCAGACTTGGCCCAACCCCTGAGGATGGTAGTCTTAACAGGACTGTCTCGGGAAGTCCCGTGGGTGGACTTGCAGGGGGGCGAGACGTCTTCTCAGGTCAGCGGCTCTCCTGTTGGCACTGCACATACCAATGCAGGTTTTCTGTCCTCTGCCCCCTCTGGGCGGCACTGATATGGAACAGCTATGCAGTTAGGGGTCCTACTATGCGTCTCTTTCATCTTTGACTAGCATGGTGCTTTATGCAGAGTGGATGGTGAGCCGGGATTAAAGAGTTTACATCCATCTACTGCAGATCCTTGGGGGTGCTCATTTGCTCAGTGGGCCACTGAGATACTGGTGTGCCTGCGGATTACAGGTCACCTGGGGGTCTGGCGCGAGGGAGCGCATGGGAGGACTGGTGCCTGCGGCAGTCACCCATAAGCTCTGGAGCCCCCTCCCCACTCCCTGGCCCAACCTTTCTTGGAGAAGGCCAAAGACCAAGTGGCCTGCCAGCTGTGACAGTTAATGGCGTGGAGCACCACCGCCCGCTATCTGAAAGGGACCCGGGGAGTCCATGGGGTCATTGCCAGGCTCACAGCTGCACGCGCATGAGGGCCGGGATCTAGGAAGCAGAGAGGTGGGCTGGGGATGGAGCCCTGGGTTCTAGAAAGCTGGACCCCACGTCCCGAATCCCCACCCTCCACCGCAGGGATAGGGATGAGAAGACACCAACAGCCATGCCAATGCCTGTACAGAAGAACTATACAATTTACATATATATTTATATACAGCATATAAATCTCTTTCTTCTCAACCCCAACCACGCCCCCCCACCCCACCACGCCCCAATAAACTAAAGTTGTCAGTAGCAGATCCAAAAATTCAAAATACCAGAATACACAGTTCTTCTTCCCGTTCCTTTTCCCCCGGTGGCATCTAGATACTGGCATTGCCCAATGAGACCAGAAACAACACGCAAATGAGAGTTATTCAAAGTGCAAACACGCAGGCACCGCTCGTGTTACATGGATGTGTCTGGGCCTCGGGCAACCTCGAAGGTCAGGTTTCTGAAGATCCGTCCTGTCTGTCCCGGGCTCTCTCCATCTTCCCTTGGGTTTTCTGCCTCTTAGACAAGGCGTCCTACTGGGAGGGGAGGGAGGTTGCACAGAGATGGGAGGGAACAGATAAGAAGTTAGAGCAGGGTTTAAGAGCAATCAAGCGGTAGACATCCTTTCCCCCAAGGGCAGCCTTTCCTGCCCTGTAAGGTTGCTGTGAGTTGGGTTTGACTGGAAGGCAGTGAGGCTCCTTCTTTGGGTGGTCTTTCTGAGTTTACGCCCTAGGGCTGCAGTGGGGAGTGAGGAACCTAGGCTTTGGACTCAACTCATGTTTGGCCGGCCCGTCTGTTGCCATTGCAAGATGCGCTTGATAGTCTCGATACGAGCATCTGCCCAGGAGGCACAGGGTGAGGGTTGTGCACACTGCCCCAGGATGCCAGCCTCTCAAGGGGGGGCCGGAGTGATAGGGGCTCGTTCACAGGCGTGGGCAGCAGGGTCCTCTTAGCTCTCGCCCAATCGCTGTCTTGTCTCCTTGTCAAAGGATGGCCATGGGAGTCTAAGTCATTGGGGCAACCTCTCAGCTCCAGTCCTCCTCCCCTCCACGCCTGCCCTCCCACAGCACTAGCAAAGCAAAGTGGCACTGGGCCTGCAGGGGATGCCTGAGAGAGAAGGAAACTTACTGAATGTGTTTGGGCTGGCTCGTTTCCCTTGAGGGAAGCTGCCAAGGTTACCACCTGTAACAAAGAAGGACAGATGTCATTTGGGCAGCCTGGACCCAGGGAACTGACAGCTTTTCCTTTACCTGGTTTCCTACCTCCTCGATTACCCCCGCCCCTCCACCCCCTCAAATGAAGGTTGCAGATGAGAAAGAGCCAGGGGCTTGTGGTCAAACTTTGTATTGTGTAGACATTGCCGGCCCTACTTCACCTGGGAGCGACAACACCTTTAAACGCAGTTTTCTTTCCGTCAAGGGGCCCTGGTGGCCTAGTGGATTTCCTGTTGGGCAGCTCACCGCAAGGTCAGTGGTTTGAACCCACCAGCTCCTCTGTGGGACAAAGATGAGGCTTTCTACTTCCGTATAGATTCACCACCTTGGGAACCCACAGGGGCAGTTCTACTCTGCCCAGGGGGTCTCTCTGAGTCAGAATTGACTCGATGGCATGAGGTTCTTTTGCAGTTTTCTTTCTATAAAGCCAGGTCCCTGCTGGGGCTCCCTGGGGGACCCTCAGATCTTACTAAGATGGGCTTTGGCACTGGTGGAGACTTGCATCACCTTCTTGGGTCCTGGTCCCCCAAGTCATAGAATCTGAGCTGGGAAGGATTGGGGCCATCAGTTGGTCTGGCCCCTCCACTTTCCAGGTCCAGAAACAGAGGTCCAGAGCACTCAAGGACCCTACAGGAGCTCCCAGGGCTGCTGCTAACACCTGTCCCTGCCCAGAGAGGGGCTGCACGGTTCTGAGCCTAGCTGTGTTAGCTCCGACAGTATCTGGGTGTGTCCTACAGGAGAAGCAGGGTGGGGTGGAGGGCCACCAAAGACTGGGCCAGCTCTCTGGGACCCTCAAGGTTGGTATGACTTTGTGCATGCCCTGGAACCTCTCTGGTCCCTCCATAGAAGGCATGGCCCTGATCGGGTCATGAGGATTCACTGGTGGAGGTGGGAGGACAGCTTCGAGGGGGATCAAGGGCTGTGGAACCCAGTCCATCCATCCAGGATGGTGGGAAGTCCCAGCTCCAAGTGCACAGCCGCCGCCGCCACCACCCTGTCCCCAGTCACGGCGATTCCTTTTGGGGGGCTGAGCACAGCCAGGGAGCCAGCTATTGTCGTCGGCTGCCACGGTGCCAGCTCCTGACTCCTGGTGACCCCACGCATGATGGGACCAACCTCTGCCCGGTCCTGGGCCATCTCCATGACTACCGGTGGGTGAAACGCTTAGCTATTGCTGTGTCCAGTTCTACACACGGGGAAACAAACTTGGAAGGAGAGTGGCAGCCCCGCTGGCCAGGCAGCTCCAAATCCCATCTTGCTTCTGCACGTCCCACCCGCCGGGGAGCTGATTCTCTTAGGGGCAGCCAGAAAGATCTAGGCCTTCCAGAAGACAACCCACCAGCAATCCGGGGGGTGGCCCGTAACTAGCTCTCACTGCAGAAGGCTGGCGGCGAGAGGCTCCTTCCCTGTCCTGCGCCCTGGCGGCCTTTCTGCGGAAGTCCAGCTAGGCTCCCCAGGGCATGATGGGGAAGCGGAAGCTTGGGGGCCTGATGTTAGCTTGCCCAGATGGCATAGTGGTTTTGCGGTAATGCACAATTCGTTCTTGAGCTGCCTGCCTCCGGATGCCCTGGTTGTGCATTCACACCCTGGAGTGCAGGGGGAGGAAGAGCCACTGTGAGGACGGGGCAGCCTGGAGCAACTGAAGGGCAACTAGCCTCCACCCTGCCACTGGTTGAGAAAGAGGCTCTTCCTTCAGTTAGAAGTTGGGTCTGACTTCTTCATGCCAGTGGCGGTGGTGGTGGAGGGCGCAGCTCCTTAGTGACTTGTCCAGTGGCACAAGCCACTGTGCTCTGGTGGCATCTCCCCCCGCCCCCCCAACCCGGTATCTCAAACCCAAAACTACACTTTGCCCCAAGCTCCAGGTCTGACTTCCCATTCCCATGGACCCCACCTGGTGTGCAAACCCCTCTTGGCCCACCAGAGGGCACCACGCGACACCAGATAACCCACCTCCAGTGGCTCCAATCCCTGCTACACACCATCTAGTCCACTGGCTTTTCTGCCTCTCCCAGGGAGCTGGGGCCGAGGGAAGCTATCTGTCATGTCGTCACCCGTGAGCGTGCTCTTTCACGAATAATAATTTCTTTTGTGCATGTCACACATTCCAGGGACTATCCCAAGCTCTTCACGTGCCTTGCCTTGTTCAATCTTCACCACCACCCTAACAGGTGTGCACGATCACTTCCAGTTTTACAGAGGGGAAACTCAAGTTCAGGGTTTAGGGAGCTTACTAACCATGACAGAGCGAATCAGTGGCAGAGCTGAGGTGAAAGCCAGTCCCCTCTGACTCTCACCCACAGGCCCCTCTGCACTAGATGGGGAGTGATCTGGGTCCCCATCTTCGCCTCTGCTGTGCCCCACAGTAGCCGTTCATTCTACAGCTGTCCTCCCCTGGCACCCTATACGCCTGCTGACACCATCCCCTGGCTAGGTCTGCTACTTGGGAGTCACCACCCGTCTTGACCTTCCTTGGCCTCCGTCAAGCAAGTAAGGTTGTCCGCTCACACAGAGGACCATCTTCAGACCCTCTGAAGGGTTTCTCATGGAAGGGACGGCGGTCTGGCCTGGGAATTCTGAGGTTGGCTCCCATGCTAGCTGTGATGTATCTCGCTGAGCCCAGACTCCTCAACTGCAGAATGGAGTAGGGGATCTAAGCAGCCGTCCAGCTCAAAGATTCTAGGAGTCTAAAGTAGGGTGTCGTGGGGGGGCTATAGACAAGGAGTGAAGGGAGACTCACTCTGCTCAGTTTCCTCACCTTCCTTAAATCCGTGGAGCCTCCTCCCACCTCCCATTGTGTAATCCCCTCTGAATGTTCCACTCTCGTGCACCTACATAGACACATGCGCACACATATGCACAGATCATGCGCACATGAGCACACAGACAAGTTTCCAGACCCCTGCATAGATGCACACTCAGACAGGTACACAGACACATGCACACACAGATAGCCACAGACATTTGCACACCTGGATAAACAAGCAGGCATGTGCACAAGCACACACACAGACATGCAGGCACACACAGGCACATACACAAATATGTCAACACAGGCACGCTAGCCATATTTTCATTCAGGGGTCAACACTGGTCCCAGAGGTCTCTGGTACCCTGAGTCTCATCTTTGGGGTGAAGGAGGTCAGAGGGATGGGTTGAAGGTTCTGGGCCAAGAAAAATGACAATTGTATGTCAACACACCAAGGGCCCTCTTGGGCACAGCTAGCATGGTCACTTAGAACTGAAACCTGTCGGGCTGGGCCGGGCTGGGGGGGACATCACAACTCTCAGCACTCAAAGTCTGCAGTTCTCCCTGCAGCCTCCTTCAGGCCCCATGCCCCAAGGCTTCCGAACAAACCTGGGCTCCCTACACCAAGGCCACCGCACCGGGTACTGTGCAGCCCAGAACCATCAGCATGGGAAGGGGAAATGAGGTCAGAGTCCCTGTCACCCTCTGTGACCCCATCTCTCCTTCAGCCATGAGTTGTCCTAGGAGGGTTAAGGTCTTAACAAACACCAAATGGTCTCCCCATGTTGGTCCTCCGCCCAAATGAACACAGAAGCCAAGGCTGCTAAGCATTACGTTGCCACCTCTTCATTCATGCGTTCATTCGATGAGGATTGTTATAAGCTACTGTCAGGTGGTCTGGATGCTGCCAGACATTAGGAATCAGCCAGATAAGACACAGTCCACGGCTTTAAGTGGGAATCGGGAAAAGAGGTCGCAAGGCCATTGGCTAGTGCTATTGGCAGGCAGGGAGAGGGAGCCTATGAAGATGACTGAAAATAAGCATCAAGTGTTGCCGACGTCTCTCGGTGGCATGGGCATGATGATAAATGCTTAGCATTTTTTTTCTCTACTTGATCAACACAACCTGGACAGGTACTGTGGCTCTTCTTCCTACTATACAGATAAAAAATGGAAACACGGGATGGTTGCACGCGGTGCAGGGAGAGCCAGGGGCGGGACTGCCATACTGCGCCGTGGTCTGGGAGCTCCATACTACATGTCTCTCATTGGCCAGAAGAAGGACCGTACCCAGAATTTATTTTAAAGTCACTAAGAATCTTTCTCCGGGTTCAGTCATTTAAAAGATGGGATCTGTCATGTTCATCTGACAGGGAGCGCAGACTGATGCAGTAACTCACTCTGTGTCGCATGCCCCAGGCCAGAGCCCAGCCAGGGAGTGGACAGCTCCTAAGGCTGGATGCCTGTGACTGAACATCTGTCTTGCATGCTGAGAAACACTGGGCTCACGTTAACCAGGAAAGATTTTGGATTCACACTGATACCAGAGTTACAACAAAGAAACGCCTCGCCCCAGGTAATTGCAGCCTCTTCGAAAAACCTCCATTTCAAATAAGCAGGTGTCATGCAAATAAATCTGCAACTTCACCTGGGCTACAGACCCACTGGTTCTATGGGCCCATCCTACACCACGCGTCGAGGCTGCCCTCTCTGTACTCCCTCCTCCTTCCAGCTAGACCTGCCCTTCCTTCCCCAGGGCCCACCTCGGTGAATGTGTCCACCCTCACGCTGCCCAAGCCACTCCTCAGCCCCTATGTGCACTCCGTCAGCGAGTCCTGAAGTTGATCTTTTCCTTCCTACGCTGCACTGTCTCTGTCTCTTGACTCGATCCCTCACCCCTTAATGCCTTTTTCATCACCTCTCACCCAAACGGTGGGATTATCTCCTCAGGACCAGGGCTTGATCACTTCCCACTCCCTGATACACAGTCACCTGAAAAACTGAAGCACAACGGAGCCTATAAGGTCTCTGGTTGAATCCCTACAACGCTTTCCACAGCCCTGCTAAAAGCCTCTCCTGCTACTTTCCAATGTCAGTCACATGAACAACTTTAGGTTCTTCTAAAAATCTGCGTCCTCCCCTCAAGGTCTCAAAACCTCATTTGCCTCCATTTAGAGCCCTCTTCCTGCCTCTGAACCCCTGCTTAGCCAATGGCTCCTCATCCCCGGGTCGTGTCTGCCACCAGCTCTGGGCAAGCTAACCCCATTGCTGCCAAGGGGATGCCAACTCACAGGGACTCTCCAAACGGCCAGACAGTGAGTCGTGTAGATTTTGTGAGTCGTAGATCGTCTCTGTGTCTGTTCTTGTTCTTTCCATTCCAACTGTTGTCAAAAGCTAAAAGCAGGCTTAGGTCATGAGCCATACAGAACCAGCCATGGATGGGATCAGATGGATGGGATCAGATCCCTGGATTACTGGCCTCTGGTTTAGATCTCACTTCCCTCACAAAGCTTCCCAAGATTGCCTGTCCTCCCAGCTGATTTAAGATCTTACACACACACACACACACACACACACACCACCACCACCACCCCCTGGCACCATGCTTCACTATGATATATGGACACAACAAAACAATTCCACTGGGCTGTCGTTACATGTATGGACCTATTTGTTCCCACAGCCTAGCCTAGCCTAACCAATACATTCTAATAGCATTTATCAGAAGGTATATAACTGGCTTACTAATTATCTTCTCAGTAGACCACCTAAGGATAGCCACCTGAGCAGTCAATTCCATCACGGCATCTGACACCAAGTATAAAACATCACATCAAATGAAACCCAAACTAACCCACTGCCACCGAGTCGATGCTGACTGGCAGTGACCCTGTAGAAGAGGATTCCTGAGACTGCAACACTACGGAGTAGAAAGCCCCGTCCTCATCCCAAAGCATAACCCCCCTACCCCCCACCCCAGCAAATAGCTGAAGAGTCGAGTATCAGGGATGGGCATCATCTATTAGGGGAACCTTTGAGCCCTGTGCCCAGGCAGGCTCAGGAGTATAGGAGAGAGCACTCACCTTCCTTGCTAACACCCAGGCAGCCCTTCAGTTCAGGCAGAGAAATGACCTTGTCCTTGTTGATGTCACAGTAGTCGGGGAAACGCCGGGCGCATTTCTTGGGCTTGGCTTTCTTCTTCACGTAGCGCTTGAAGGGCTTCATCTCCCTCTTGCTGATGTCGCCGCTGCCGTTGTTGTCCACCTGGCTGAAGTACCAGTGCACCACACGCTCCTCCAGGGTGTGGCTGGGGTCGGGCTCAGGGAACCTGGGCCACAGACAGACACCCCAACCCAGGGATCGCTGCTTAGGGTCTTACAGGAAGCATGCCTCCTACCACGATGCTCCCCACAAAGAGCTGGCTCCCGAGGGATGCAGGCCGAAGACCTCCCAGACTTTCTCAGCCTGTAAGGGAATCAGGCCACCCTCTTCAACGTGAACATTCAGATTAGATGATTCATTTCTGGAGAGTCCCAAAGTGGGTGATCTTTTAAGAGGGGAAACAGCCTCACCGCTACAGATAGCCAGGAACATGCTGGGACGAGATGGGTGCTCAAGACATCTGGCCGACATTGATCAGTCTGCACCCAGATAGGGACCTGAGAAAACCACAGCTGGGATCCAAATGGTGCCCCTGGTCTAGTGTCCCCTGCCAGGCAAGCTGATCTTCACACACGTGCAAGCGCACTTGTGAATACACACGAGGATGGGGAAGGATCGTCCGTGCCGAGCGCTGCAGGAGCCCTTTCTCCTCCCACCGTGCACACCCAGTAGCAGGCCAGCTGCTGGGAGGGTGTCCAAGTCGGAGCCCTGGACCTCAAGGAGATCACCATCTCTGTGAGGCCGAGCCTGAACTCACGAAGCCACTCAGTGACAGTCAAACTGTGACGGGCCCCGGGATTATCGCTGCCGGGGACCCAAGTGTGGTAGAAATGGGGAGAAGGAGGCAATTGGGGTGGGCACCCATGGAAGTTCAAAAACTCAGCAAGCCCCAGACCTAAGGGGGTGAGTCGGGAGGGCTGGAGTGATTCTGCCGAGTAATGCTGGACTTGTGGAGCCAGGGTTCTTCCTAAAGAGCTGCCCAGAGGGGCCATTAACGTGTGTCTGTGGTCACACACACACACACACACACAAATCCCAAAGTTCCACGTTCACATATATAATGGTACACATTGCCTACACACACACACACACACACACATCTTAATGACTCATCTGGGCCACACCTTGTCCCCAAAGGATTCAGGTTGGTGACTAATACCTAAAAACATAGAGCGTGCTCTTCTAGAGCGGTGGCCGGGCTTCAACTAAGAGGGCCGAGCCCGGGAGCCAGGACTCGAGGGCGTGGTGCTGAGTGGAGGCCCTTGAGACACATGGGGTCAAGTTCCTGGGCCAGTTCCCCTTGGGAAGGGCAAGAGGGTGAGGCCGGGAGTCCCATACATTCGAGGGCTTGGTCTGCAGGGCCCAGGTGGACCGCCCTAGACGGAAGCAGGGCTTGGAGGAACGACAAGCTCATTGTCACACAGGGGCACCAGACCGGAGGTTCCGCGCTGTCAGTGCATCCTGAATAAGAGAAATAGTCAAGGCCCGTGCAACGGCCTTTCCCTGGTGTCTGCTGAGTTTCCTAGCAGGAAGTGTGACTTCCTCGCTGCCAAAATGCCATGATGACTCAGAGACTCTATCAGACAGGGTAGACCTGACCCTGTGAATTTCTGAGACTGTAACTTTTGTGGGAGTAGAAAGTCCCGTCTTTCTCCCAAGGAACAGCTAGTGGTTTAGAACTGCTGACCTTGCAACCCAACGCATATCCACTATGCCACCCAGGCTTCGCAAGGAGTCTCCCACCTCTGAAACCTCCTTACGAAGGAGCCAGCCAATTGCCTCCCCTTCTCCCCGCTCTGTGGCCTCCAAGTTTAAGAGAGAAGCTGTTTTGCTACAGAAAAAGCCCAGGGATGCCTATTGGATGGGTTTCCACCTTGGCACGTTCCTTTAGACCCTCTGACTCCTGGCGAGTCCTGATCCAAAGAGGGCACAATTCACGGGCCTGCCGGCTTGCAGGTGTTGCCCGAGGAGGAGCTGGGGAAGGTATGAGGGGGAACAGTGGGGTCCACCTTCTGCCTCTGGTTTGTGGGAAACTTGTGGAGGCAAGGCTGACAGCTCTGTGAAACAGGCATGGTGCGCCGCAGCATGGAGTGCAGAATTCTCTCTGCCGAGACACGGTATTTGGTGCTTGTAGTCTTCCTCCATAGCCCCGCGGTGTGCGCATGGCTACCACGCTGGCTGCTGCTAGCCAAGAGCCTGTAGGTTGAGTCCCCCCATGGGCACCCTGGAGGAAAAGCCTGGCGGTCTATTGAAAACTCAGCTGCTGAAAATGCTTTGGATCACAGTTCTATTCATGAGGTCCCCCACCACCCCACCCCAGTGCAATCAACTCGACTGGCAACTGGTCTGGTGGTTTCTTTTACCGCCGTGCCCTCTCTCCCAGCCTGACCTGCAGGGCACACCCAGTGGACAAGCAGAATGCGGCTCGATTGGGGATGTTGGGTGTGCAGTCAGGGAGGGGCCAGCCTCCTCTTGAAGAGTCCTACCTGCCTCTGTCCTCCTTTCTACGTGAGGACGGTACTGGCTGGGATGGGGGGAGAGATAAGGGAGACCCCAGGAAGGCATCTCCCATTGGGTGCAGTCCAGCATTTCTAAGGCAGCCTGCCCACTCTGCTTCTCCCACCAGGGGGCCACGAGAGCCCCAGGGTACAAGCACGTGGCTTTTCTTTCACCTTTAGGTTCAGCATGGCGTCATGTCTACCTAGAGCCTGGAATAATAAAGCCCCAGTCAGAGGGAAGGGATGAGGTCATCCTGCCCAGACACCCTGCCAGGGGAGGCTCGCTCCCTCCACCACGTGCCCCTGCTCCCGCCTGTCCAGGTGTCAGCAGGTCCAGGCTTGAGCCCTCCCCTCCTTCCTCTGGGCTCGGTCACAGCCAGGGACAATTCTTCTCCCTCCTTTGCGGTCCCTAGAGAGAAGTCCCTTCCTGTCGGACCCCCGGTCATCACCTGGTTGCTGGTCCCTTCATGCTGACTCTCCCTGTCTGCCTCGGAGGGGGACCAGGCTGTCTCCTCTGCGGGACCCCAGCACGGAGCAGCCACCATTGCTCACTTCTGGCCTGCTCACCCTGCCTCCTGAGCTGACCCCTGGAGTGAGCAGCAGGGGGCTGAGATGTTCAGGAAGCACCTCTGGGTCCTCTCAAGCGGGGTTTCTGGGTTCCCTAAGACACCTCTGGAGCCGACAGTCTACCCTGGGGCTGAGCCAGGCCAGGGGACGAGTGGAGGCTGAGGGTCCTGCTTCCCACTCCCCTCGCAGCCAGCACAGTGCTCTCTGCGTCCTAGTTGCTAGGGTGTCAGGAAAGCCCCGCGAAGTAAGAGAGCCCCTGTTTTACACGGACACCTGGCCAAGCCTAGGCTCCTGCTGTGAAACCCAACACCGTTGGCAAGCCAAGCTCCAAATGCCTCCAAAACCAGCCTTTCTTCCTTTTAGACGCTCCGGCCCCTTCTGGAGGCGCCTCGGTGGCCTAGTGGTTGCATGTTGGGCTGCGATCTGCAAGGTCAGCAGTTCCCAACCAACAGCTTCTCCAAGGGAGGAAGACGGGGCTTTTGACTCCCAGCAGGAGTTACAGGCTTGGAAACTCACAGGAATGGTCCTATATGGTCCCATACGGTTGCTGTGAGTTGGAACCGACTTCGCGGCAGTGAGGGGTTTGGTTTGGTTTGGTTTGGAAACCTCTGAGAATCTAAATAAGCTACTGTCTTGCTCAAGGGACATACACACACAGACACAGAAGGCTTCTTTTTCTAGAGGACTAATGGGCCCCTTCCATCCCACCCGAAGTCTGTGAATCCAGGCTAAGAACCTTTGATCCAAGAACAGGGGACCCCAGTGATGGTCCCAGAAGAGCATTTAAGCATGAAGCTTCTTCAAGAAGAAGAGGCAAGACAAAAGAGCAGCTGGGAGAAGTGTGGGGTTACTTCTTCCATTTCCAGCAAAACACAAACAAGGAAAAGAGGGAGCTCCTAAGGACATGTGGTGGAAAACCCCATAACTCAGGGCAACAACCTTCAGTTCTGGGGCTGTGCGCAGGTTTGGATCAAGGCGGGGATCTCTTGGGAGTCCTGACACAGAACTCTCACCTCAGGCCAGAAGCAGGTGGGTGCAAAAAGCCCACAAGAGAACCTCTATGAACTGAGATCTTCCCGGGGCATGCTGGACAGGGACAGGGCAGGAAGGCCGCCCCAGAAGTCTTCCAGAAATCTTTTGGGGAATCTTTACTGGAGGGCTTCCCATCCTCATTAGACTCCCCACCACATACTTGGAGCTAAGGAAGACTGAGGGTCCTGCTTCCCACTCCCCTTGACCTTCCAGCCACCCCCCCTCAAGGCCTCCAGCTCTTGCAACTTCCTAGGAACATCCTTGTAAAACACACCTGCCCCTTGCACGCCCAGCTTGAGGCTGACACTGGTATCAGGCCCTCGTCCCTCCACATCCTGTGCATCCAGGCACACCAGGCCGAGGCCAGGACGGAGGATACACACAGCTGCTCAAAGGTTGGGGACCCCAAGTTAGAGGGTTCGATGCAATGATTCACTGTACCAGCATGCCCTGGTCTATGCAATGGGCCTTGCTCTGGGGAGGTTCCACGTGCATTAAAGGGGACCGTTGGGCACAGAAGAGCCAAGTTTCCTTGACCAGAGTAGGGAAAACAAACCCAATACAGCTGACTCCTGGGACCGCCATGTGCACAGAGCAGAAGGGTGCTTGTCGGTATTCCAAGCTGGGGCCTTTGGGAAGCAGACCACCAGGCCTTTCTTCCAAGGTCCTCAGAGCGAGTTTGAAGAGCCTATGTATTGGCTCGTCACTGAGCACTCCACCGCTTATATCATCCTGGGACTCCTAAAGACACACCCACGTGATACCAGATTCCAGGTTTTTGGAAGTCTATGGTTCAGTAAACTTCTGCTCTCTGGCCTACTTCTGGGCCTTTCTGGTGGCCAGTCTACTGCTTCCTGCCTCCAGGGCTGAGGAAAACCCTCAGGGAGGAGACCCCTCGGCACGAGACCCGGTTGAGACTTCTCCCAGATGCAGAAACAACAGGTGCCGCCCTTCTCCTCCAGCGCATTCAGCTTTGCCTCGGCAGCCTCAGCCCTGCCAGGCTTTGGCTGCACTGCTGTGTTGGAGAGCCAGCTCCATTGACCACAAGGATGCCTGCCCTGGCCAAGAT